GGCAACTCATCTCTGGAATAGGACTGAAACAAGCAGCCTCTCGGCTGAGATAGCTCCGCTGTTAGCAATGCACATTTCAATTAAAGAACAGAAGATATCATTAGAAAATAAACAATATGTATAGTCTCAAAGCAATGGGACTTGCTGTTTTCAACAAGAATTCAAAAATATAATTTTTCACCATAAATGATTGTGGTTTTTAACAAGAAGTCGAAAATATCACTTTTTTACCAAAAATGACAAAAAAATTCATCAAAATTAGAGAATTAAAGATATCATTACAAAATGAACAAATCTGAGAGAGGTCCACATGTAGTACCTATATATGTAATATCAAAGCAATTGGACTTGCGGTTTTTAGCAAGAAGTTGAAAATATCACTTTTTACCAAAAATTACAAAAATATTCACCAAAATTAGAGAATTGAAGATATCATTACAAAATGAACAAATCTGAGAGAGATCCACATGTAGTACCTATATATGTAATATCAAAGCAATTGGACTTGCAGTTTTTAACAAGAAGTCGAAAATATCACTTTTTACCAAAAATTACAAAAATATTCATCAAAATTAGAGAATTAAAGATATCATTACAAAATGAACAAATCTGAGAGAGGACCACATGTAGTACCTATATGTATAATATATCAAAGCAATTGCACTTGCGGTTTTTAGCAAGAAGTTGAAAATATCACTTTTTACCAAAAATTACAAAAATATTCACCAAAATTAGAGAATTGAAGATATCATTACAAAATGAACAAATCTGAGAGAGGCCACATGTAGTACCTATATATGTAATATCAAAGCAATTGGACTTGCGGTTTTTAACAAGAAGTCGAAAATATCACTTTTTACCAAAAATGACAAAAATATTCACCAAAATTAGAGAATTGAAGATATCAACATGAAATGAACAAACCTAAGAGAGGTCTACCCAAGGTACATATACACCAAGTATCAAAGCATTCAGGCTTGTAGTTTTCAAGAAGAAGTCGAAAAAGTAAAACATTGACACGGACGACGACGGACAATCACTCATATGATTAGCTCCGCTCGACAAAGTCGACAGCGGAGCTAAAAAAGAATGCCAACTCACCTCTGGAATAGGACTAAGGAATGGTTTCAGGTAAATATTTGTGTCATGTACTTTAAGTTCATGATCTCCGAATCCTCTGGTTACACCTATTGTTGCTAACATTCTAGATTTCTTACCATCTCCATATATCAAAGGAAACTTGGTGTCTTCTGCAGTTACTATTTTATGAGCCCTAATGAAACCGAGAAAATACATTGTGTGACTAGCATAGTGTCAAACATCTTATAAATTGACTCCATCCTACAGCATTATTGCTTCACAGCTTGGATCAGTCTTGATTACAAATACATTTGTGTAAGGATTGTGTTATAGACACCCAGCTTGTATTTTTATTAATGAACACATTGCCAAATGTCATCATACTATAAAACACTCTGAGATAGCAAGCTACAAAAAAGCTAAAAAAAGATATATTTTACAGTGTTCAGTTCATTCACAGTGTAATTCCTAAACAAATGTTAATAAATATCACCTGGCAAATAAAATATGAAATAAAAAAAAGCATATATATTGTATTTCAAATCTGACAATATTTACCATCCAGTCATGTGTTTATCTCTGTATAATACTCTTTTACCAATGTCTTTTTTGTAAATTCGTCGATGAAATTCTAAATGTGTAAATTCATTATCTAATAAACATGGTTGGATCCATGCTAAATGTTGTAATCTTTGTCTTTCTGTACTTGGTGTAAATTCTTGTGACATCTCTATTATTTCATTGTTCCTCACTATGATTGCTCTGAAATCAATAAGTAATTGCATTAGTTTGAGAAATAAAGTTTGAACATGAATGGTTCTCCAAAGCTGCATTAGCTAAAATGGCTGCCAGTCTGCCATTTTGAATCCAATCTGATGTGTATCAAGGTGTGTAACATTCAATGTACATACATTTTGATGAAATTTTAACACTGATAGAATTGCGATTTGGCCATCTTGAATCAGAGCATGATGTATATATAAAGTTTGAAAATTAACAGTCAAAACATGTCTCCAGAACTGCATTCAGAACCACTAGTCAGCCATTTTGAATTCATAAGTCCCATAATGTTCAATTAAATTTGAATATAATCAATTAATACATGACCAAGATTTGGTTTGATTCATTGGTAAAACCAATGGCAAGCATATGTATCCCAAGATGCAGGATGTATGTTTGAAGTTTGAATGTAATTGGTCCAGGCATGCTCAAGATATAGAAATAGATGCACAATGGTCAGAACATAAGTCACTGTTAAAACCCATTCGATGACCATAATTTTAACAATATTTTCCCCAATGTAGTGACCAAGCTAAACAAATTCAGGATTTACTAAAAATGTTCTCAACCCAGCTAGAAGTACACAAAACATAGTTTTCAATAAGTTGTCATAACAAACACTGATGTGATAACAAATGAATAATTCAGATGGCATAGTAAAAATAAGTTGTCAAATATAGGGTCATACTTTACTGTAGGGCCAAAATGACTGTGTTTGACTGCATTCTGATAACATGGGATATTTACCTTGAATCACCTGCACACGATAAATATAGTTTACCATGTAGAAATATTGCTACTAAGGCAGTACAACCACCTGGTATACGGAAGATGTGTTTCTCATGACCTATCTGTTCATCCTGTGCATCAAACAAAATTATTATTATAACATGTAATTTATAATAATCAGGGAAGCAACAATGTCATGTATTAATATGTTGATTGGGTTATACATGTACATGTGTTGGTAGGGCAAGTAGATAACCCAACATGGTATTTGAATTACAGGGACATGTACTGCAGTCTGTTAGCCCCACTAGTAAACTAGATTGACATTGTCAATGTGTGAATACTTTGACCATTGTATATTAGTTTGTATGTTTCCTCGATTACATACCCCTAAGCCGATATGACATGCCATTGACGCACAGAAATTTGCTGTGACTCAACTACACATGTACATGTAGTTATGCTGATTCACTGGCATATCTTACAATCTTATTATACTTACAAAGTTATAATTTGGTAAAACAAAATTCCTTCTATGAACAAAGGTTTTATTTGGTCCATCACATACAATTTTATTTTTTCTTTCCTCCCTAGCAGTCAAGAAACTGACTCAATTTGATTTTGGAGGATTTCATTTTGACTGAGGATCCTTACAAAATCAGTTTTGTTAGAGAGAACACTGGTCTACAGTTGGTAATCAGAGATGTACTTGATGTCATTCATTTCAAATTTACAAGTCTTGCTACTTTTAAGTACATAGTATCTGCATCAGGATGCAGGTTGAATCAATTATTTTTATTTGACAATTGAATGGCCATTACGGAGACTCAATTTCCACAGTGAAATTCTCAATTCTATGAAAGCTGAAATTTTCCTGCCATCAAAAATTCACAAAGCCATATCTCTTGTGAAATCAATACATAAAAGTTGGTACTGAAACATGTTTTCTTATAGTCCTGAATGATGTATTTACTTTAGGATTTAAACATGAATCAAACCTATGATTTTAAATAAGTCAATGAAAATGACACAGTCCCCGTTAAATTTTTGAAAGTTCTCTTTGTGCTCGTCATATTAAAGCAGAAGGGTTGTCGCAAGCGTGTCCTTGAAATTTGAGTTCTAAGTGGCGTATATAACAGATTGTTTATTTACATCAAAACACATGTTCCATGTAGTAGTAATATGGCCAAAAATAAAAACAGCCATTATTCGGCCATCTTTGATCTGATTATGAAACACACTGATATGTATTATATATGTGCCAAATACGAATGAAAATGATACATAAATTGTGGAAATATAGTAGTAAGGCCAAAAAGTCAGATGGCTGTCAATCGGCCATCCTGACAAATTGTCATGGACATGCATCCTAACATGTATAAAGTACATGTATATGCCAAATTTGAATGAAAACTGACAGAGCACGTCCAAGATACCGCATAAAAAAAAAAAAAACAAGATGCCTGCCAGTCGTCCATCTTGCGAAATAAATCGTCATGGACATGTATCCTAACATGTATAATCTATGTACCAAGTTTGAATGACAACTGACAAAGCATGTCCAAAATACAACATTTTCAAAAAACAAGATGGCTGCCAGTCAGCCATTTTGAATCGAATCGCTAAACCACTGCATGTGCATATGTCCCACATAAGGTACTAGGCACATGCAAAGAATGAACGTAATCGGTCCACAGGATTCTGAAATATGACTGGACAGACTGACGCACGGACAGACAGACTCAGGAACTCACGGACGGTCGGGGACATGTATCCTAACATGTATGATCTATGTACTAAATTTGAATGAAAACTGACAAAGCATGTCCAAAATACGACATTTTCAAAGAACAAGATGGCTGCCAGTCGAACATCTTTGATCCAATTGTGAAATAAATCGTCATGGACATGTATCCTAACATGTATAATCTATGTACCAAGTTTGAATGAAAACTGACAAAGCATGTCCAAAATACAACATTTTCAAAAACCAAGATGGCTGCCAGTCGGCCATTTTGAATCGAATCGCTAAACCACTGCATGTGCATATGTCCCACATAAAGTACTAGGCACATGCAAAGAATGAACAGAATCGGCCCAAGGGATTCTGAGATATGAATCCGGATGGACGCACAGACGCACGGACGGGGACCGAATTATAAGTCCCCGTTTTCGGACTTCGTCTGAACGGGGACTAATAATATACATAAAACTCTAGTAATACTTTTATACCAATTGAAATGTTCTTTGCAGGACTTTATATATATGGTAAATGTCCTGACCCAGACTCATTTTCCTAAGTCAAATCTCTTACATAAATTGTACCTTCATTCTCATAAATTATCGTAGGACTTGTCTGTAGATCATGAGACATCAAAAAGGGAGCACTGTCCTTTGACCTATCTGGAATGGCGTTCATTGGCTTTCATGCTATATGATATTTTTAAGTCAGATAACACCATTGTACTCAGACTTTTTTGGATATGAAGTCATTACCATAATAACATGTCATGAACTGCAGTCTCAAACATTTTACCTCAGGTTGGACTTTATATCTTAGAAGAGTCCCTGTATGAAGTCATTATTCTAAATGTATACTTAAATATAATGCAAATAAATTTCAACTTACCATATCCCAGAATGCATTCTCCAGTGCACCACATATAAGACTCTCAGTTGGAAGATCCCTTTCATGGAAAGGCCACTTAACTCTGCCGTGATATTTGTCATTGTGGATATGTACGGTATTTCCCTCAGGAAGGCTATAGTGCGGTGAATTTATTAATATATTTGCCACAGCATTTAAGTGTTCTTGTATGTGTAGGTGCAATGTATGGACTGCCATAACTGCCCCTGCATTCCCAGCGTGACCATCATAGATGGCAAAATATGTGTATGTGTTGTCATCCTGATCCTACAGATCAAAAACAATATGGGAATAAGAAAATCATTCATGATCAATTTTATTTGGGTCTCGTCTCTCCCTCATTATCAGTTCCTGGTCAGTCCAAACAGATGACTTTATAGATTAGTTCAAGTTCCTGTAATTGTAGATGCATGGGATGCATGATTTTTAAATTTGGTTTTAAGACATGACGACATTGATTCTTTAGACTCCCCTGCAGTCCTTCATCTTGATTACTTTCCAGGGCATGTCTGGGTCAGCTACAGCGCAACTTATGAAGAACACACATGATGAGTTACTGATGCACAACATTTTGTTTTATTTGTCATGCATTTTATTCTAAATTGGAACAAATTCTAAACAATATGAAACAATATGAATTTTAAACTGATCAAATATGGTCAGCGAGATAGGTGAATGGATGGACTACCAGTAATCCCCATCTATAAGTTTACAAACATTAAAGTGGACCAGTTTACTCGGTTTAAAATAGTAAGAAATAAACTACATCTGCACCAGTGAGTTTTCCCTGGAAGGAGTGTCTGAGGTACCAGATTTTGCCGCAGGTTGATTTTGTGAATCAAATGATGATTCTCCTAGATGAAAAATACCAATGGCAGCTTGGTCTTCATTGTACAAACTCTTACCAGCATTTATCACTCTAAAAATAATAATAAAACATGATGATGAAATATCTAGTGCATTCACAGAAAATGAAGAAAAACATTTCATTGAATTATATTTTTGAGATCAAGTTCCAGTCATCTTGCGGTAATCAGCTACTCATTGTGATGAAAAAACTATGATTGTTTTATGTGTACTGAGGAGTCTGGCAAATGGACAGCTGAATCATGGTAGGTACATTTTTACTGAATCTTCCAAAATCTTTACATACATTGAAATAAACAAGTATTTATCTTTGCATAACTAGTGTGTATCACTCACATACATCAAAAATGCAATGTACAATCTAACTGTTTCATTATTAAGGCCTAAATAAAACAAGCAGCCTCGCAGCTGAGATAGCTCCGCTGTTAGCAATGCACATTTCAATTAAAAAACAGAAGATATCATTAGAAAATGAACAATATGCATAGTATCAATGCAATGGGACTTGCTGTTTTCAACGAGAATTCAAAAACATCACTTTTCACCAAAAATGACAAAAATATTCATCAAAATTAGAGAATTGAAGATATCATCATGAAATGAACAAATTTGAGAGTGGTCCACATGTAGTACCTATATATGTAATAACAAAGCAATTAGACTTGCGGTTTTTAGCAAGAAGTTGAAAATATCACTTTTTACCAAAAATGACAAAAATATTCACCAAAATTAGAGAATTGAAGATAAGATCATGAAATGAACAAATTCGAGAGAGGTCTACCCAAGGTATATATACACCAAGTATCAAAGCATTCAGGCTTGTAGTTTTCAAGAAGAAAAAGTAAAACATTGACACGGACGACAGACAATCACTCATACATGTATGATAAGCTCCGCTCGACAAAGTCAACAGCGGAGCTAAAAATTAAATGTTAGTGATCAAATTGTTTTCCAAAATTGATGCAGACCCATTAATATTTATTTTAGTTTAAGTGTCATAAAATTTTGCTTTTAATTTGATTTTTTTTTCCAAACCCCCCAAAATAGTTGTGACCGATGGACGTAATGTTTGCATGGACTTAAAATACCAATAATAACCATACAGACTAATAAGGCATAACTTTGGTAACAAAGAACACACTCACATGACATACAGCCACTAATTGGAAAGCAGAAATCATAAGAGCCATTATTAATTAGCAGGAAATTTAAAATTTCTGTTAAATTCTTATCAGAGCACATATGTACATTACTTTATGAATGGCAATATATTTCAATTTTAAAGCCTGACACTACTATTCAAATACTATAATTAATATTTCATTATTATTGTGATGACGATGATGGAAAGCCACTGTATATGAAATTAATACTGTGAATTGATTAATAAAAATGATAGCATACAATGCTCATTACTGTAATATGACAATAATAAATAGCAATCATTACCAAGTAATTACATATAATCACTAATGGTACTAATATAATTTTCAAACCAAGCATGAAATTATAATTTATCAGACTAACTCGAGTCAGAAATGTTTATGTAACTATAATAACAAATTTCTATACACTATTTGCATTTGACATCACTAAAATGACACGAACACACTTTATATGTGTGTTTTTTTCTATAGATAATATAGACACTTTCACATCTACACTATCTGATTACATGTATAAAGAAAGTGCGAGCAATCTATCAGAAGTATTAGCTGCAATGGACATGATGCAATATATCATTGAGTGAAATAAACAAAATATGTAGTAGCTGAATTTCATCATAGCATTGCTATGAAGCCTATGAACACAGCATGCATACTGCAATATGTCACCTTGCTTCAGATCAAAGTCAACATTGAGATAATAGGATAAACAATATATTGATTAAAAAAATCAAGGCTATGAATCACTAGTACATGTATTATACCGTAATCACAGTGTGTGTGTCACAGATGTTACCTATGTTACTATTATTACTATTTAGTTCATTGCATCATGATTTATATAAAACAACAACATAGAAAAAAAAAATTATTATGCATATTAATAAGGTAATTTTCCTGTGTTTCTTATGTACCATTCAATAGATTTCAATTAAACTTAGTACCAGGGGTATATAGATGGTCTTGGATAATGTGCACACCTGATTAGTTTTTGGTTGAAATCTGTGCGTATTATTGACCTAATCTGCATATTAATTAGACAATTTTAAGTCTTTTCACTTTTTTCTCAGGAACTATTCAACAGATTCAATGGAACTTAATACATAAATGGTCTTTGATACATTGAAATGTGTACACCTGATTAGTTTTGGGTTGAAATCTATGCCTATTAATTACCTAATGTGCACATCACAGCCAATTTGAGACCTTTTCAAGGAAATATAGATGATCTGGGATAATGATCAAACCTGAATAGTTTTAGGTTGCAATCTGTAAATATTAATTACATAATTTGCATATTAATTAGCCTTTTCCACCAAAATATCAACCACTGGTCAAATTTCAATGAAATCAATGTATTAAAAGTGTAATATCACTGTAAGCACTGTTGCAGATAAGGACATGCAACTAGTGCCATAATGGGGACATCAGAAAAGAGATACATTGTATGACTAACATGCCACATATCCATATATGTCACATGACATGATAATATGCATAACAGTAATGGTTCAAACATCATACAACATTAATGAACGAAATTGACATTACAATCTTATGTTTTCGAACAGTCTTATATTTAAGCTGGGGAACACAGTATACAAGTACTGGATACGATATACTGCAAAGTGGAAATAATATACCTATTTAACCGTTGTTGATTTTTGTCCAAGAACACAAAACAAATGACTGACATAATCGACAAAACAAAAAACAACTGTCGAGTACCCTACACAGTGTAGTTTAATTAGTAAGAACAAGTCATTGTTAATGACACAGTCCTCGTCCAAAATTTTGTGATCTGACATATCAATTTGATGCTGATGAAGTCATTGAGATTAGATTGAAACCATTAATAGGAGATTAATAATTAATAAATAATGTTCATGTTGATGTATTTATTGATATACTGTCTTTGTACAAAATTTAAACAGAAACGTTTATGGCATTCAAGAGAAAGTACCATGGGTACCATAAAAAAGCAAAATGGCCGCCAGTTGGCCATATTTGTTTGAATCACGGAAAAAGTATGACGTGCACCTATAACCAAATATGTATGATCATCATAGCAAGTTTGATCCAAATCGGCCAAGTCATCTCTGAGAAACAGCTCGGGACATGTAAAAATGACGATTTAGCACTTACCTACAACCCAATATGTATGATCACAGGAAGGTACTAACGGAAATAAATTTTCTTATTAAAATTGTATGGGTATTTTTGTGAGTGTACCTGTATGTATTAAAATATATACACATCAGAACTTCAAATGCAAACATAGTGCACATGCAAATTGAACAAAATTATCGAGAATGATCATGGATTTGTTAGAAAATACATGCAGTTCAATGCAGTGACACTATCTGGTGGTGGGAATTGCCAAGCTGGTTTATAAAATTGTGAACAAATATTTTTGTAAATATCACTGATCAAGAATGATGCCCATCGCAAAGTGTCTTGTTAGTATGAAAAATATTTCAGAGCGGTGTGCCCTCTAAGCAGATATGAAGTGTCACTGACCCATAGATTTTTTGTGTCAGACAATCATAAATTGATAGATAGGGATCTTCAAAAACGTCTTACAGTAGTTTGGAAATTTGTAATATAGAAAAACAATATTCACATTTTATCAACAAAAGAAGTGTAAAATTTTGTGTTCCCTACAGCCACAAACAATCTTTATTTTTGTTTGAATACCTCTCTCCCCAGCAGTCACGAAGGTGACTCAACTTGGTGTTTCATTGTGACTCAGATTTCCTACAAATCAGTCCTGTTAGAAACTACATCTACTGATGGTGATTGTGAAAAAAAATATTTATAAACTTCATAAACAACTGGCAGCATAAAAATTAAGACATGATAATGATCTAGCAATACTAAAGGAATATGGAATCCTATTGATGCTATGAGAGCTACATCTGGGGCATATATTCAGAATTTTTGAAAAAAACAAACATTTAAATGAAATGTGGGACAATCATTCATGTTGTTAGCATAAATAATAGTTCCATTATATTATTACAGAAGGTGGTTTAATAATAGACATCACATCGTCTTTATATCGGTTGAATCTCAGTAAAAAAAACTTTATTCGTTTGAATTTATATTGATAAAGAGCAATTGCCAAAATAATTCAAGAAATGTCGCACCTTCTAGTGTCAGAAATAAAAGCTAGACACAATTAAAGGATTGATGCTCCTGAACGCTGAAGACATACACTAAACGCCCACTCACTTTATGAATGTCAAGCGGCATGTTGATGATTAAAAAAACAAACAAAAAAAACAAAAAAAAAAAAACTACATTTGTTTATTGATATGGCAATAAGTGAAAGTAATGTTAAGTGTACATAAGACGTACTTTCAATTTCTTGTCTCCAGAACTAACAAATTACACTCGCGGTGAATCACCGTAATGACTGAATGGGACGGGACGACGACGTCGATCGCTTTCTTTGCATATCTGTTTTCAGTATCAATCAATTACTATGCGTAATTATAACACGTTGTACTTACTCTGAATAGCCACTGTACCATGGTAACCTTGCTATATCGCGGGGTACTAGAATTGGTCTCAAAACATGGTCAGCGGACACCTTCACTTCCTCGTCACTTAAATTTAAAAACTCGGGACGACTGTACGGAAACTTTACCGGCAAATCCTCGGCCCTTTGCGTTTTTTCAGGAGAACGTGGTATAGGATGAAGATTGGCAATCACGTTGTTTACAGTAGACCTAAACCGGTTGATCATCTTGTCGGTGTCCCGCGGAAAACTAAAAATCAATGACGGCAAAATAACTTCTAAATGTCAAAGCATCCGCCATCTTTCGGTAATGTTTTTAATAGGTCATGTGATCAAAAGTTAATTCGATATTTTCAGCCTGTATGGTCGACAGGACTAACTACACTGTGTTGTGGGTGTTTATATACGCAAATCTTGATTAGAAATTAATGTGTACGGTTAAAATGACGAACAATAATGTAATATGTATTAATATTATGCTGCTCATAAATTCTTCACTGAATATTTTGAAAATAATTTCGAATCATGTTACTGCACAATTGGAGTGTTTGTTTCTTCGTTAAAGGATCGTTCAGTGATGTACTTCGTGCTGAACAAAATGTAAATGCTAGTAGTGTGTAGATCGCGGTGAGCCGCGGACATGCAGTTTACCACGAAGTTTTGTCTGTCGCCCTCTGCAGCCACATCTCATTGGCGCTCACAATTACCTTCATAATATCGATGATATGCACGTTAGAAGATATTGGGTAGGTGTCTAAACTTTCTTTGTGTTTATTTGGATCTAGCTTCCCAGTTCGATCCTTGATTTCCAGCATGAGATGTTTTCATTGATTGTTGCTTTTGTTGTTCAGTGTGTATAATGATGATGATCCAATCCGACAATACAGTGAAAGTACCAGACAGTGTATAGATCGTAAAGTTATACCGTAGTGGCATCATATCTTTCACAATCTAGAAAAGCCCGTGAAGGTGTACATATACACTTACATATTATTAAACTTGTTCCGACGTGAATGAATTGCATGGAACTTTTTTGGATTTTCATCTACATGTGGTGTGCACTTCATTTTTTCACTTAACCATACCACACATTTTTTTTTCAACAATATATATCATTAATTTTAAATTAGTCTTATTGACTCCAAAGGCGAAATAATTAAGTCACAAATTATGTACTTTTGTTTTCCAAACCAGTTAATAGACTCAATATCGACATTTTTTGTGGTTCATCTGACTCTATATAGGCTGTAGAGTCTACTGTGAAAAATTCCTTTCAGCGAAAAATATAAATCTGAATGTTTCAACTAAAATAAAACAGTAAATTACTGAATTATCCCAAATTAAGTTGTAACAATTTACCGAACAAAAAATGCATGAAATTAAACTAGCATGTCTTATGAATGATGATAGTGTATACTTTGTCATTGAAACCAAGCCTCTATGGGTGAAATTACCATACCCAGGGCAATTACTTTGTTTAATTTGGTTTCAATGAAATTAGTGTTTGTCTATTGCCTTGCAATGAATACAGTTACTTTTATAACTGTGCCTGTATAACAATAGGTATACTGTATGTCCTCTTTACAAAATGAGTTCAATTATTTTTATTCACCATCCTATACTGGTAGTTCAGAATGTAATACAATTTCAACCAGTGTTCCAGAACCAGAGGGGATTTTGACTCAGAAATTAAAAATTTGACATATAATTTGCATATTAGAATTAAATTTCAAAAACACTATCAGTGATATTTCAAAATTCAATGGTAATATTTTCAAATAGGCATGATTATTAAGTACACACCGATTAGTGGGCAGTCAGAGTCCCTAAATTATGTTTTTGATTAATTCATATATTATCATGAGAAGTGTTTAATAACTGAGTAAGCATAATTACGTTTCCACCAGCTTTTTAACACATCCTAACAAGAGAACAAAACACACTATAAACAATAGTCTATTGTTTATAAACAAGCCACAAGCATAGTGTTAAACCATAGTATAACCACAGTATAGTAGTAGGAAAGACACGCAATTGTGGTAAATATCAAAGTTAAATTATACTGTATATGGTTAAACTTTCATATAAAATCAAATCAAACTCTGGGAGTGTTTAAATTTGACCAACCATACTTAAAACACAAGTTGAGAGAATGGCTAATTTGGAATTGTGGTAAGATTTTGAAAAAACAAATAGAAAAGTACAAGGCAATAAATATTGTTAATTAATATCTGCACAAATAGTAAATACTGTAGAAATAAAAAAAAAAATGAGTTTAATTTTATCAGATTCGATGTTGGTTTTAAATTCATTGTTTTGTGAAGGAAAAAATAAATTTTGTGATCAACTATTATTGTTCACTGTGTTCTAATTTATTGCATTTAACTATCAGTAAAATAAGCGAAAATAAACCCAACTAATAATGTTGCAGCAATACTCAACATTGATATTCCTGGGTCACAATGTCTCTCTGTGTAATCAAGCTGGCTGAAACACTTGACACTTTTTTCACACTCTATAGAATGCAATTTAATCAAAAACATATCTCAGCTAAACTATATACCCCGGTACTATAAGTTTATTTTCAAATTAACTGTTGGTAACAATGAATTGTTTTCTATGATTGCCCTTTATTTTCACAATGATGCAACTTTTCTGTTAACCTTTTTCACAAATTGTAATGTAGCAATTAATCTTTTATTTTTATCCTCATTATCGAATATATACATTAAGTAGTTTTTGGCCAGCCAGTCTTTCATTTTATGACTAGACTATCCCCAAAGTGCCTATTAGATAAAAATAGCTAAGTAAATTATGTCATCATACACAACATATTCCTTTGTAATTACTGCATAAAGTAATTTCATTTTGTTAACCTCATAAAGTAGAGTCCCTAACTTGTCTCTATAATCACTATTATCTTGTCTAATGTACCCCCTAACCTGCCATTTATATTGTTCATTGAAAGCACCATTCTATATGATGATGTAAATAACTTAGAATTCTGGTTAAACTCATTGATAAAATAATCAATTTCATTAGAAAAAATATGCATCTAATGCATCATTGGGTATAATTTGTATCTTTCATACAATTTTCAACTTTGCCAACTGGAAGAAATTAATATTGTGATGCTTTTTGCAATCACCAACAATACTATCATTCTTTATATTTTTTCAATATAAACTTTCAGTTGTCATTATTATGAATTGTCATTGCATCTTGTGAGTAATTGTTATTAGCTCCGCTGTCGACTTTGTCGAGCGGAGCTTATAATATGAGTGATTGTCCGTCGTCCGTGTCAATGTTTTACTTTTTCGACTTCTTCTTGAAAACTACAAGCCTGAATGCTTTGATACTTGGTGTATATGTACCTTGGGTAGACCTCTCTCAGATTTGTTCATTTCATGATGATATCTTCAATTCTCTAATTTTGGTGAATATTTTTGTCATTTTTGGTAAAAAGTGATATTTTCGACTTCTTGTTAAAAACCGCAAGTCCAATTGTTTTTATATTACATATATAGATACTATATGTGGACCTCTCTCAGATTTGTTCATTTTGTAATGATATCTTTAATTCTCCAATTTTAGTGAATATTTTTGTCATTTTTGGTAAAAAGTGATATTTTCGACTTCTTGTTAAAAACCGCAAGTCCAATTGCTTTTATATTACATATATAGGTACTACATGTGGACCTCTCTCAGATTTGTTCATTTTGTAATGATATCTTTAATTTTCTAATTTTTGTGAATATTTTTGTCATTTTTGGTAAAAAGTGATATTTTCGACTTGTTAAAAACCGCAAGTTTGATTGCTTTTATATTACGTATATAGGTACTACATGTGGACCTCTTTCAGATTTGTTAATTTTGTTGTGAAATCTTCAATTATTTAATTTTAATGATTATTTTTGTCATTTTTGGTGAAAAGTTATATTTTTGACTTCTTGTTGAAAACTGCAAGTCCGATTGCTTTTATATTACATATATACGTACTACGTGTGGACTTCTTTCAGATTTTTCCCGTTGTTTTTTATATATATATTGTTCATTTCTAATGATATCTTTAGTTCTTTAATTGTAATGTGCATTGCTAACAGCGGAGCTATCTCAGTTGAGAGGCTGCTTGTTTATTCAGAAATTTTCATGTCAGCGATGAAAAATGGTACTATTGCATGATTTGGTTTTTCGAGCTGTACTGTATTGTACTGTTGAAGGCCAATGACATAACTCGCCATGTTTAGTGCAAAATATTTTATACTGAATCTTTACCTCACATTGAACACTTTTCTTCATATGCAACAATGTGCATAACTAAAATATAATTATGTCACTGAAAGCAAACGATGGTGTAGACACAAAAACTTTTTGCTGGCATTTCGGGCTGTTATGTAACACATAAAAGATAAAGCAAAGTATGCCCTCTGCACTCTGTGTTTGTTGATTCTATGTTTGAGATTGCTTTTGATTTTATTGGGAGTGCATCAACTACACACATAATATGATGTGTTCTTATTTGATTCAGAAATGCCAAACCTTGCTCAAAGCATACATTTTTTACACCATGAATTGGTATACCATTCATTTGATCTGGGGGGGAATTATGATTTCTGTTTTGATTTTCACAGTGCTGCAAATCCCTTCTTTAAAAGAAAAAGGGTTATCCCCCAGTATGTGTCAAGTTTAAATTGATGTTGTTCATTCATATGTTTATAAAACAAATCAGTATGTGTATGTATAAGGTTGAAAGTCCTATAAACATAAGTAACATTATCTTTCTCATTATTGACTTACTTTTTATGTTGTTTTCTTTTCTTCCATCTCTGGAGTAACTATACTGTCATTGAATTGTCAGGAGGATTCTCTAAACATTTACAGAAATTACCTCAGTGAAAATAATCAAAAATGTTCTTCCTAGGATCCCAAGAGATCACATTCTGATTATATGATGACCCTATTTAAAATACACTAATCAAAGTCCACCAATAAAATGATAGCTTTTGCCATCTGACATACCCCAGATTGTTAGCCTATTTGATAATCTTTGTTACAGAAATGAGTTTTTTTTTAATTACTTAGTCTATATACACATTACTTCAAGCAATTAATTGATGTAACAACCGAAAGAAATTATTTAGTAATCATTGCCATGGTAATGCAGCTTTAAAATAGTTAAAGGTTTAAGTATACAGAGATCTATTTCAGATTGTTAGCATAAACACATTCCATTGGAATACTCCAATTTATGCCATGGTGTGCTATATAGCTTAGTATGCCCCAGTTACCTCATTGGGTAAGTAATGAACCAATCCAATGGCATTATCAGTTGTTTCAATGTTAGTTTGATTCAATTAATTCAACATAGCTTGTGAGGCTATACTGTTCCATCTGAGTTAATCATAGATATCTTGAAGTGGGATTTTATTTGATGGGTAAGTTAATCTCCATACATCAGTATTACCCTTATTTAGAAATTGAAGTTTTTTGTTTCATATCATCTGACCATTTGACATATCAGTCTTGTTGTTTAATAGTATGTACTCCATCTAATGTATTTGGATTGTGGTTAAATTTATTTTTGACATTTGCAGCCAGGGTATTATAATGAAACAATGTCATTGATATTTCATCTCTTCTTTCCATAAAAACTATAGTAGTGTAGTTTTAAGATTATAACCAGTTTTATTGCATTGATCATGGTGGTTCTTTCCTATATTTTCCCATGTTTAGAATATTGATTGTCTCGTATATTTTTTGGCATATCAAACTTTATAGCATGTAAGACATGATGACTGCTTTTTAACTTCTTCCTTGTGATGGACTTTTGAGAATAAATTTACTATCACTGTATCGTTTCTAACAGCGCAATCACATGCATATTGTAATCATATTCTTCACCCAATCATATCCATTTGTAAACTTTGTATCTAATAATTTATTTATTTTCTTTGGGTTGTATAGGCTACCAAAATAAAATAAGTATAGACCAGTCTGGAAACAAGCTAAATTTCTCTCAAACAGTGCAAGCCATAGAAAAATAATGATACACACATTATAGGTAATAGTCATGCATATCAGAAATGCTGCTCAAGTGCATGCAAACAGCGTAAATTTGGTATTGTCATAGCTTTTTATACAAATATTTTTAATTGAAGTTGTTAATAAATTAATTTACCTGTAGCTTCCAGTCACTGCACTTGCTTCTATATCATTTACTGGTGACTTTAGGTTTGTAATACAAATCTGTATAGTAGCAGATGACAGGAATATTACAAATTACATGTCTGCTCTAAACAGTACACTATAATTACACTACATGTAGTACATGTATAGTATACTAGTGTATCAGTAATAACCACATAGTATTCACGTCAGTAAATGGTTACAATGAATATCATGTCAATTTACATCTCACAAGTTGATACTGCATTTCTCAATAATTGTTCTATGTATAATTATTTTAATGTGTTTACCAGAGGTATTCCTTCTCAGTGTGTGTTCCCTTGATTTGAACTGATGAATTCTTGTCATATGTCTCTGTTGACACTTAATCAATCTTCACACAGACTATGTTTGTAAAATTCCAACTACAGATATCTGTGTATTCAGTTATAAAATCTTAACTCTGTATGGTTTCTCTTGTCACAATGTGGTTGTAAAATTCCTGCTACAGATACATGTATATGTGTACTTGTCATAAAATCTTGTTTCTCTTGTCACAAAAATCATTTAGTGATGTCAGTTTACAAAAATATACAAAAATCTCATCAATTATGTCATCCATGTGTATTGTCTCTAGTGTATATTACATTAGCATATACAATGATGGATTGGTTCATCTAATTTTGTATCATGTCATAACCCTTTACTTTCATAATAAAATGAGAATAGATTTGATAGATGTCTGGCAGCAATTGTTTGTCTTCCTGTGTTCGTAAATGTGGATTTACATTTGTCTATATCCATCCATCTCCATGTGCATAGCTTTTATATATATACTTGTGTTATTCAAAGTCATCAAGACTAATTTATTGTAACTTTACATGATGGTCCTACATAGTTACAGATTCATGTCATTTCCTGTTATGTTTACCAATATGACTGTAGGTTATTCTCATCAATTTTATCTATCCAGTATAAAATATATGTAACAGGGACTATGTCATTTACAAATTGATACAAGGATATGATACAATGTATATACCGGTAACTAATCTTCTAATTTGCACACCAATTCTTCTGATATTTTTAGTCTATTTTTGAATGTGTCAATCTGGCGTATTTGGACATTTTTTATTTTATAATTTCATGATTAATTTTGGACATAACAAATAAATATTTAAAACAGGCCACTTTTTTGATAGTGACTTGACAATGAAGTGAAATAGTTAAATCTTAAGCTATACTAATTACATTTTTTCTATTCAATAAATGACATACATTATTAAATATAATTAAAATACATAAACTTTAAGTGATTTACTCTATGCTATAACTCATGCTGTAATTTTAGTAATAAATCTTTTTATAGATCTACACTGACTGTACATTGAGTGCATTCAACTTTCGTGGAATAATGTCCCATTGCACCAGGAAATATTATCTTTAATAAACAAACAAAAAATAAGATATATTATCTGATTGAGACTATGCAAATTAAAGATATGTTTTACACAAGAACAAGTCTTATCTTATAAATCAGAACTCTGCTAAATAATGTATGGTAATTTATTACTATTTGCCTTTACAATTGATGTAGTGGGTTTTATTTGCAACACAAATATACCTAACTGACTCACTTCACATTTAACATCACTGTATTACGTAAGTAAACTGTTCCCATGGAAACAATGATTTCTACTTCACAGGCTAGACATACGTATTTAAAAGCAAACATTTATGTCAGTTTGCATTTGTAAAATGAATTTATTAATGCTATGGTCGTCACATAAAGCTACAATACTAAGTGCTGTAGGGGCTCTGTATCAAATGATATTTTATTGTACTGGTTTATTACTGTTTGCCTGTCACAAGATTTGTGTCTGTGCATAATTGATTGATGCTTAAGGTAGGAGCTTACTCAATTTTTGAGAAAGTTGGTCATAATTCACAATGTGCATTGGCTTATGTAAAATGATGAAGATATTGTCCCATTGCACCAGGAAATAGCATTCTTTTGTAGGACAGTGATGTATTCTGAGAAACTTGTCCTACCGGTAATATTTTTTTAAAAAAAAAAAAAATCATTTTTTGACACTTTTAAAACTCTGATTTTTAAAATAATTCAGGACAACAAAAAATACCCCATCATTTACAATATATGATTTTTTCAGCCTCCAACCTACAATTTGAGATATGACATATTATCTCTGCCATAAAAGCCTATGGTGAAAGTTTTTTAATACTGTTAATATGGACACTATCCACTAAAATTAGACTGGTGATTCCCAACTTTTTTTAAGTCAATATCCTTATATTGTCTAGGAGTACAATTTATTGAAAATTAGACTGGTGATTCCCAACTTTTTTTAAGTCAATATCCTTATATTGTCTAGGAGTACAATTTATTGAAAATTAGACTGGTGATTCCCAACTTTTTTTAAGTCAATATCCTTATATTGTCTAGGAGTACAATTTATTTGCACACAACACTTTGCATTATTGATAGTTATGGTATTCTTAAAAATGGTCTCAAAAATCCTGTTTGTTTTCGGTTTCAGCTGCTGAACTTTTTACTTTCACTTTGTACATGTACATCAAAATCCTCAATATGTGTGCAGTCATACTGTGTAAATCATTTCTGAATATCATGGTAGAACGAAATCAGTCAGACGTGTATCAAGTTTGATACCAATATGTCATACATGTTATGGGTCTCATGTTGGCAGTGCAGCTTTGGGTCAGGACAGATTCGAAAAAGAAGTTTCTTTTTGTTTACTGAAAAATAATAAGCAATATTGCTATCTTAATTTTACGATTTTGCTTCTTTACATTTTTGTTAATATTTTGTAAATGATAAAATTACCTTTATCAATCCATGGTTTATTTTAAGACTACCCCTTAGGAAATCCCTTCTCTAATGAGTTGATGTTAATTGGGTGATGGTGTGTAGGATGTCGGCATGTGTTTCACAAAGAATAACACACTTACATTACATCACCGGATGTAAGGTTATCACTGCACACATTAATCACACATAAATATCTGTTAATTGGAAGCTGGCAGATAAATATTTCCCATAATACATTGCAGTGATCAAGGTACAAAGTAGATAAATAGTTCGGAGTAACAAAATGAACTTTTCATATGTTAGGTAAATTAATTTCTCTTGTCCTCTTATGAATATGGGTACATCATGTATATATGAAACTTGATGGCCACAGAATGCTAGACTGGGAAGTGAATATGTTATAACTATGAAGTCTATGCCTAGATTGCATTGTGTTCGTTGGTGATAGCAGGACTCAGCCAGGTCAGAAAGACAAATTGGTGTCATGTACATGTGTGTGAAATTCATTGTTATGCCTGGAGGGGAAGGGTGGTCGATAATAGCAAGCTACTTTATCACTTTTTATATCAATACTCACTAAAATGAATCAGAATATCTCACTATCTTGTTTTACCAGTGCAAAGGTTATTTGCATTTAATACTTATTTAAAACTGATCCATATATAAAGTACATTTAAATAAATTTGATGATAAAAGTTATATACAACCGGCTATATATATCTTGGGTCTATTTTTAATCTATATGATGTCAGCAGTGAGTTCAGTCAGTGTTGTGGTTAATATTAAATTACATGGTATGCCATTTACAGTGTTGTTATTACTAAGTACTGCATCCTTTGGGTTTAGCTCATTTACTCCAGTCACCCCATGGTTCACTCCTCCTGACCTTTTCTTTTCATCTATAATTCTATGTCATTTCTTCCAATTACTATCCCATGGTCTCCTGGTTGTCTATTGAAAATCTCGCTTGACCATAGCAGGTACCGGTAATAGCGTTCCACCACATGTACTCTACATACCCAGTGGTAAATGTCAGTGTGTTAGGTGGTCTTGTAATAGTAATTATTGGCATAAGGAGTATTGTTTTTAGTAAGTTCTGGTTTATAGTGTTGACAGCTCACCAGTAGTGTACTTGGGTGTACACCATCCATCATCGTAATTTGAAAGTTTGACATAGTTCAGTTTTTTACTATTGGAAACTACTTTGTTGTAGTATGCCCAATGTTGTGTTACTCTTAAAGTCATTGAATTCTTTTATTTTCTTAATGTGCATGGTTGCAGATATGTTGTGAATGAAATTAATCTTTTAAAATGGTAATTTTCATATACTGATACTTTAAACATTATATTCTTTTTTTTTCTCCTTCCTTTCCCATTTTACAAAATGGTTTGTTCCACCCTGTTACCCATTTGATCAAATAGTTTGTTCTATTTTTTTTTAAATTCTCTGTGATATGTAACAGGTTCCAATAACAGTAAAACGTAGAGTAGAAGGCATGCATTACAGCAATTTTATTTTCTCACAGTATTTTGTACAATCGTGTTTTATAGAATATTTATCTTTGTGATATGAAGTAATGTTTTTTTTTCAAGAAATGTTTGTTATATTTAATTATTTCCTCTTTTGTTGAAATCCACAGGATGCCTGATTAACTTGGAGGCTGGAGTGTGTCATGCTCTTCATCCTGGCAGGAAACTCGAAAAGAAAGGAAATAAAAATATGTGCACTTTACTGGACAGTTTTATACAGCTGAGTTATATCATTTGAAAGAGATCTAAATTGTTAATCGTTTTTTGCCCTGAAGTTAGTATATTGATCAGCAGAGTAAATGCTGCTGTGTAATTCTATATTGGTGTCTTGTGTATCATGAGCAATGCGTTGGACGGTACATAATACTGTGGTTGCAGCTTACATGCAGTTATGGTGTACTAGCAAACTCTGACAGAACAATCTACATCACTGAACTGTGACAATACTACTCAGTAAACTTAAACAGACTCAACCACAGATGAACTGAGCTACAATGAGGTGGCGGAGCCGACTATGTCGATGCTATTTTTCTTCAAGAGATATCTTCATTATCGTGATTGCTTTGAGTACTTTCTCCATTTTTTTGACTTACCGCATGGGTGCTACTGCAGGAGATAAAATCGTTCCATCTTCCATTAACGATGGTGTCTATATGAAAAATTCCAACTTTGATGATAGTAATGGTGCACAGAGGAATATCTTAGAGGGCATGGAATTGGATAGCAGTAAAATAACTCAAAATGCAAGGGAGATGTCGCCGTTGTTACAGAGACTAGGGGAGGTAAGTAATATACTATTGTTATAAATTTAAAACTATTTTTAGTTATCACACTTTGAAAAAAGAAAGGCCAGTTAAAGTGCAATATACCAAAATTGGGTAGAAGGTAAGATGTACTTCCTACTTGGGGACTGTTAAAGGAAATAAATTTAAAACAGTTCAACAACAATGTTAAAACATTAAGTCAAACAATAATCAACTTAGCAATACTAGAGAAAATCATTTTAAAAATACTACCAGCTGCCCCAAAGTAAATTTATTAATTTTCTTTCAAACGTTTTTAGTTGCATGTTTGCTTCTTTCTCAATTCTTCATCTTTATTGTACATTTCCCTCAGGTCAATATCCAAAATGAAAATGATTTTGCAATAAAGATTATTATTATCTGTATTATTACCATTACTTATATTTAGTATTTTGGAATCATAATTTGAGCACCATTGTCACTGCTCCATATACAACTTTAATAGACTGGTATAATGTAAAGTATTATCAAAATCAATTAGACATCATTATGGGTTCCAATTTTAAAAACTGGGGTTGTGCTGAAGGACATAAAAAGTGATGAATCAAAACAGAAAATGCATAGTAGCTATATAATAATGAAAGGATTGGGAAAATGCAAATTGTAGGGGTGAATAAAGTACATGTATATTAATTAAGTCACATTCGTCCAGCTCCCCCTAATTTACTAATGAGTAACCTTGTACATGTACTTGATCAGATAACTTTTGTAGTGCAAGCTGCTTGATACTTACATAGATCATGTGGTAACGAAACATTTTCAGAGACGTCCACTTTGAAATAATAGCTACATGTCATTTTAGCATATTTGACTCGATTAATGAATTAACATTAATTTCATTATGAGAAAATACTTAATTTTAGATTAGCTACATTTTAAATCAAAATTACAGATTAGATAAATTAGCTACAAAAACATACTTTGCTATAAGATCTATTTTACTGTACTTGTAGACTAAGTCATATTTCAATTTGGTGACACCAAGTTTATAGTTAGATGACAAAACTGCCAAAATCACAGCAATGTGTGTACAATTACAAGACAAGTTATGAACTAATTACAGAAGTGCATAAACATTTATGTTCTGTTGAATCAACTTTATGCTTTAATGAGATGAGTTTATGGATTTTTCTTTTTCAGTGAGGTGTTGTAAATGGCCCAGTACATTTTAGTATTAATAACATCCCCTTCCAGTCAAACCACTGTTGTGTTGCCATTGCATATCCCTATGAAAAGCAAAGTATTGACTCTTTAGTGTACCGGTAGTCTGTGGGTGGTATAGTATGGTGGGTTACATCTTTTATCAAGGCTTTACTCCTAAAGGAGAACAGATTATCATTTCTCTGTAAGGGGATTGTTCTTGGTGTTTAGATGTTTTGATTTCCAAGTTTTGTTTAAATCTGTCGCCTCCGTCCATATTTACTTTGCATGCCCAATTGCTCTGAAGAATTGGTTGTAAACTTTAGTAACTCTGGTGTTGGAACTTCACATTGTCAAATGACTTACATTGTATATTGTATAACCATTACCACGAGAAATGTTAGTAATTTGATGATAAAGTGAGTTGTAATAAAATCACTGAGTTTGGATATTTGAAATTCATGATAGTTTATAGTTTCACATGCAAGCTATGCTGTATTTTGTAGGCTTACAATGTACATTGTCAACCCTTTTCAGGATCCATACCAAAAATTTTTCATTATAGAAAAATAATACCGGTATATTTTAGATTTTGAAGTTGTGTATGAAATGTGCTTAGAATAGAATAGAATAGATAGAATAAAATAGAATATGAATGTTTCCTTTCCTGGTAGTAATGTTTTGATAAAACTTTCAATATGGATCAAAAATAAACTCTATGTTTAATAATGAACCACCCTTGAATGTGAGCTGCATATATTTGTGCTATTATTTCAAATACCACTAAGTTAAAATAGCACTTATTGGACTTGAACTTAGCTTTAACAGTTATATTATTTTCAAATATCCAAGTCAACCTACATAAATTTAGTGCTACATTGTACATGTATATTTTAATATTTTTTTCAGTCTTTCACTACTTGTCATTATTAGCAGAAAGAAATGCAACTATATTGGAGATGTATTTAATTAGCGCAAATACAGTATTAGTGTGCAGCTTTAAGATTCACCACTAAACTGCTTGGTGAAGTGTTACAGTGTTATAGGAACTTTTTCTTTTATTGCATCAAATAATTAATGTTTAATTCAATTTATTGAAGAGAATATTGTATGTGCTATAGGATGCCACTCTGTTATTGACTTTGTGTTATTGAATTCATGTGGGTGATGATACTAATTTATCTACCATGCAGACTTTCCACTAATGTACATGATTCCATGTACATCTTTGTGGTACAACCTGTGAACCATCAATTATTTGCAAGAGTAAATGAATCTGGTCATTCTCCCCTGGCAAGTCACTGGTGTGATATTTGAGCTAAACATTTAACACCCTAGGTCAGATGTAACTAATGGTCTAATTCCCATGTGTCTTTACATGTACAAATGTGTTGTATGATAGGGGTGTGTTTTTTGATACAGAGAGTGAAAAGTGTGAAACCACCAGATTACAACGATATGAAATCATTGGGGTAGCTGGAAGAGTGTAACCAGTGGAATTTTTTCTTCTCACAGTGTCTTATTTTACATTTTAATTTTTTTTCATGAATATTTTAAATATTCATGAATAAGATTTTGAATGTAATTTTTTTCCCACCCCTCCCCAAGTTTTCAAATGGTCCACCCCTTAGTGATGGCATAACCAGGGATATATTGTTGTTCTGCTATAATCCTGTACTGACTGTAGTTTTCAAATAATATCAGAATACCCAAGTTAAAATGCTAAAATTCTTTTAAAATAAACATAATTGGTATTTATAAAGATGTACAAAGAGCCAATTCATGAGAATTAACAGCATGCAGTGCTGTTTCAGTCCAATATATTTTGTACTTATCCCAAGTAAATAACATTTAACTTCTCCATCCCATCCCATATTAGGCAGTATCTAGTGCATGTATCATTAATGTCAATAATAAATTTAAATGATGAAGGTCTTCATCTTCTAATTTCTAAACTTAATTTTGGAAAATCTCTGAATGTAATTGTTAGAACACATACTGCTGCACATCTAGTTGGTGTGGTGTTATTGAATAACATTGTTTTAGCCCTGTACCTGCAACATAACCTAGAACTGTGCTGCACTGACTGCTTTACAACTAAATAAAGGGTGAACGGAGCATATCACAAATAAAAAAAATACTGGTACCTGCTTGGTATCTCCCCTACTGTTCAGTAATTTAAAACGGAAATAATAAATCATTGAAATGAAGTAGTGTGAAAACAAACAAGTATCAGTAGATTGATTGATAAATATAATGAATGGCAGCTACTGTTACTGGTACTGTTAAACATTTCAACCAATGTCTTTTTATGTACTATTAACTAGTTTTTACCTCTATCAGTTTTCATCGTTTTAATATTTGAGGACATTTGTGAGGATAAATGTTGAGAAAATCACTCTCTTCGGAATCCCAGAGAAATTTTGCCAGTTAACTAACTTGAGTAATTTGCAAATATTTCAAATATTTGAAATTGAAGTGATTTACAATACAAGCATTATAAAAGTCTTTAAATCCATAGATCCTCTAAAGTAACTGAGGTCTGTATGGTTCATAATACAGTATATATAAAGGAGGAATATCTTTTTACTATATGATTTATATTTCTCACTGTTACCTATCCCCGTATAATATCAAGCCATTTTTTCCCAAGCATGTATGATGGTTAAAACTGTAATTATATGCTACCAGTTCAAACAATAACAGAAAACTGTTATGAATTTAATATAGTAATAAGTTTAGAGAAATATATCCCAGTAATTAAGTATTGTTGTTTATTATAGTAACATGTGAAAAAGTCAAATATTAAATATATATAGTAATACTTATTGATAGTAAATTATCACAAAGTCTGATTATAAATTTAAAATTATAACTGGAAAAAGCATTGATTGTGCCAAAACATTTATATCTTTGAACACAAATTGTATACTTAAGGTAGAAGCCTACTCATAAATTAAAAAACCCAGAATTTATTCATTTTACAATAAATTGTACTCCAAGGCAATATAAGGATATTGACCTAAAAAAATTTGGGGGTCACCAGCCTTTTTTTGGAGAAATGGATGGTTGTATTTTAGTGGAAAGTCGCCATCTTGACACTATTATAGCACTTTTATAACAGGTTCCTATGGCAGAGATATTATGCAATATCTCAAAATCTACTCTGGTGACATAGGCTGAAAAAATCATATATTGTTAATGATGAAGTACTTTTGGTTGTTCTCAATTATTTGAAAAATCTGGGTTTTAAAAAGTGTCAAAAAATGCAATTTTTCTTTAACATTGTGTTCTATGGAATTGTTCTAAAAATAGCAGTTTTTAAGAAATATTAGGACACGTTTCTCAAAAAGCATAACTGTAACACACAAAATAATGGTATTTCATTGTACCATGGGACATTAGCTTCATGATTGTACATAATAAACTAGTGAACATTGTAATGCGATTTATGACCAATTTGGTCTTAAATTATGACTAAGCTTCTACCTTAAGCACAGATTAGTTAACATTGCAAATAACTTTATTAACACATAAATCAATATGTAGTCCAGCTATCTTGATACCAGGGTCTTGATAACATCCTTACAAACTGCTCATACCCTGCACTGATAATGATGTGTACCACCAGTTCAGCTAATGATTCACTATATTGCCTGAAGCCTGGATGACTACTGCCAAGATTCAAGGCATCCCAGTTTATAGTATAGTCACATTTTTACCTAAAGAGGCAATTAACTTGAAGGGTATGCTGAATATAGGAACTTAGAGATTTCCTTTTCTCCCCATTCAGTCCTTCTTTTCATCAGAAGAGAAAGAAGATGCTATTTACTTTAGAA